GAAACGTTAGGAAGAAAAACCTTCAGAACACAGCCAAAGAGCCCGAAAAACCCACAACAACCATTAGATCCCAGCCATGAAAGCCTTCGCGAATACATACAACTTGTTAATTTGTGGCAAATCACCATCACAATGTTTACCATTTATGCAATTGCACATACACCAGTGTAAATCCACAACTGAATTCTGTCCATCAAAAGTGGGTAAACATCAATATATTTTATTTATTAAGATCACAAAAATCTGCAGTAAAAACTTGCTTAACTTAAGCTAATGCAAGAAGGAGTTCCTTGTCAATTTCTTCATCTCCATCCACACTTTCAGCAGGGGATCTTTCAGAGCATGTTTTTAGATGTGTTCTCGAAGGCTTTCACGGCCAGGATCCAATGGTTGTTGTGGGTTTTCTCCCCCTCCCATCACAACAAAACACCCATAACAAAAAAGACCCTGATCACTGGAAACACCCAATCTCCTGAAAAGAATAAAAACCCTGATCCTAGCTACAAACACTCAACAATCCTACACACTACACCAGACTACACTACAAAGACAGAATTCTCCTGTCCTCTGAAGATGCCGGCCACAGAGACTGGTAAAACGTTAGGAAGAAAAAACTCCAGAAAACAGCCAAACAGTCCGAAAAACCCACAATAACCATGTTTTCAGACTTTACTTAACCAAAATTCTATCTAACAAGCAAAACCGACAAAGAGTATCTCCAGACATTGTTTTGAGATAAACTTTGTTCAAATCACATGTTGAGTAAAGCATATTTTAAAAAAGAAACAAGCTAAGTGCAGACCAATTTTTCTTCCAGAAAAAGTAACAACATGGGGATCCAAATCAGAACCATCAGTTTATTTACCACCACAACAGTTTCAGAGGCAAACAACAACAGCATGAGCTGGTAGGGGTACAATTTTTCAGGAGGGGAATGTGTGAGGAAAGGCAATTCTCTCTGTACATCAGGGCTCCTTCCAGCTGCTGCATGAGAAGATTTAAAAATGAGCATTTAGCAACCCGTGCTTGGTTCTTTACTTTTAGCACCTCTGAAATACCTTCTTTGATGAGCAGCCTTCTCTTTGTTCTACAGTGTATGTTATCTAAAACTTTATGAAAAATGAGGAAAAGGGCAACAGCATAACTATTTCTATCCTCAACAATAGAGATGAGCACAAACGGCCAGTTCTGCCTGGTTCATTTACAGTGGTGCCTCGCTTAACGAGGACTATTTCTATCCTCAACAGTAGAGATGAGCACAAACTGCCAGTTCTGCCTGGTTCATTTACTGCTAACAAAGGTGTTGGACAGTTTGGTGCCCCACCCCCTTCTACAGGTGGCCACTCAAAAGCAGTATCCTGGCTTCCCTGCCCCACCTTCTATGGGCAGTGCTTCTAAGTGGGAGCTCACTGGAGGCAGTGGGACGCCAAACTGCCAAACACCTGTAGCTGTGGTAAACAAACTGGGATGAACCACAGAAGCGGCAGTTTGTGCCAATCTCTACTTGGCACCAAATTTTCCTTCCTGTCTACTACATATGAATAGGATTCTACTTTCAAACCAAGATTTGAGGAAATATTCCATAAGGCTAAAAAATAGCAGTGATCTTTGATGTCATAATCTATATACCTAAATTTAAGATTAAAATTAAATGGAACACAGGAGTGCCCAAAAGAAAAGCATTCACTTACACATAAAAACGGACTATTCATCATGAGGTCAGGTTTACTAATCAGGTTAGGATACAGACTGCACTAATTCAAAAAGGGTTTGTGCACAGCATTTGGGGAGTTGAAGACCAATATCATTTCAGTATGAAAGGCTGGAAACCACTTGCTCTTATGGAGTCAATAACAAAATTACCATTAAGGTCATGGCTTACCAAGTATAATACTGTAGTTTATCTTTGTTAAAGAATATGAGCTACCAGGAATGACACAATTGGCAAAGCTTCACTTAACAAGCTTCTTAGTAATCTGATTAAAAGAATATAAGGACAATATTTTTGATGGGACCTACTTTCTAAGCCCTCAAAAGCAAGGTGCGGAGCAGTGTCTCTCTCCCCCTTCCTGTGATTATCCTTTGCACATGATACCTGAAGGCTTTATTACTTCCATATACTGTATAGAAGTATATCTCAAAGTAACCAATGCTTGGCTCTTTACAGGACACATGAACAGCTTCCATTTGGTACCAAATAGTGGTGACTGGTTATCTAGTTAACAAAACATCACCAGGGTGGTTGTGGAGATACATGCAAACATGCTGCTATGCAAATAAGATATCATAATAACCAAGACACTCTTTTATGACTTTGTCTTATAGCCTTCTTCCAAGAAACTTAAGAAAATGAATGACAGAAGCTACTCAGAACAATTACCACCTAAAACTGAAGAGGAAGAGGAAGAAGAGGATGATGATGAAGAAGAAAATTGATAAGTGATTTAAATCCAAACTTTATCTACCAGATACATGTTCTAGCCTAAGAAATATTTCTGCTGAGCCTTTATTTCACCAGAGCTACTCCTTAACATACCAGCTAACAAATGTCTGTCCTGTCCTTGCAAGTTTAAAGTGCTGCCCCTCCTATCAATAAAAAGGCTAATCCATTTGTTAACTTTTTCTTCTTTGAAATAGACGGCATAACAAAACATATTCATAAATGACTATGATTTCAAGACCAGTGAACTTATTGATGGTATTCTAAGTATATCTACCCTGTTTCCCCAAAAATAAGACCTAAGCTGAAAATAAGACCTAGTATGATTTTTCAGGATGTTTGTAATATAAGCCCTACCCCCCCAAAATAAGCCCTAGTTCAGTGAACCCCCCCCCTCCACCATTGTGCAGCCACCAGAAGATGGCATGAGTGTATTTGAATAAATGTAGATTGATGTACATGAAAAAAAATAAACATCCCCTGAAAATAAGCCCTACTGCATTTTTTGGAGCAAAACTTAATATAAGACCCTGTCTTATTTTCGGGAAAACATGGTAGGATCATTGTAAGCATAAATAATATTTCTTCCAAGAAACAAAATTACTTAATTTTGCATCTTAAATGTTTTATTATGGTATGTACCTCAGTGCACAGGGGGAATGGAGGGTGTGGAAATTTAGAGATAGTTTTAACTGTACAATTAATCTGGTACCTCCCAGTTATTTTGGACTACACTTATCATCCTTCTCACTGTTGGCTGGGGCTGATGAGGGATTATAGCTCAAAATACAGAGGTACCTTCAGGTTGCATAATCCACTACCTATGATTACATAAAGGATCTCAAGTGTGCAATGGCTAAGAAAGAACAGAACTGCGCAACAGTGTCTGCAGGAATGTTTCCAGGGAAGAGATCTGCTGTTTAGCGGCATGGTAGCATAAATTGTGGACGTGGTCTGTGTGACTGCAATGCAGGATGTCTGTCTCTGTGCTTTAAGAAAATGTAAATTCAGTATTTGTGGGCAACTGGCCCTCTTCCTCTCTCAATGGACATCCCTGGAGCTCTGTATGTTAGTTTCATATAATTTCAACTACATATTACATGAAGGCAATGAAGACTGAGTTATTTTAAGAACATGATCCACCGAGCTAGACTCATGCTGTTTGTTTATACACCCAGCATGTATGAACAAACAGCATGAGTCTAGATCAGTGATTCCCAAATTAAGGTCCCCAGATGTTTTTTGAAATACAACTCCCAGAAACCCTGACCAGCACAGCTACCAGTGAAGACTTTTGATATCCAGTGTTGGGAACCATTGGTCTAGAAGACAAACAATAGAAGAGTCAACCAGAGTCTAAAGCTAAAACATTTGACTGGGACTTCGGAGGTCCAAGTTCTAGTCCTCACCGTGGCATGAAATTCACTGGGTGAACTTGGGGAAGTCACACTGACTTTGACCCTGAACTCAGTAAAAAAAAAAATGGAATAAAGATGTAAATAATAAATAAATACCATTGCTTATTGTTTACTTACTAGTCATATTGCTATTGTGCCTTTCTTCCAGTGAGCTCAAGGCAGTAAGAATGGCCCTCCTCACTCTCACATTATATCCACACACTCCTCTGTAAGGTGAACAGTGACTTTCAAGGTCATCTGGCAAGTGTAACTCATGACCAAGCAGAATTTCGAATACAGTTTGCTTAGAAGACATCAGAAGGGATGCCATGAGTTACACGGGTGGACTTGCACACAGAGAAAGGCTGGAAGGAATAAATAGGTGATGCCTCCCTCTTGGTCTTTTTACCTTGCATGTGTACACCTACTATGGGCCATCTGAGGCCACCATGTTTTTCTGGAACAACAGGTGGAAGCTATAACCCCCAAGCCAGCTTTGGGAGTCTCTTTGTTCATTGACTTCAGGTCCACCTTCCTGACAGGAGAAGGGCGATGACGGTAAAGAAGGGGTTGCACCACGTAGGGCAGTTTAGGACTTAAGAGTGGGGCGGAAGGAGGACAGAAAAGGGTCTTCGTATATTTCTGGTTTTGTGATGTGAATCAACTCTTTGAGGATGGCAGTTCGGACTCGTTTTATGCTTAGACTTAACACACACACACACACACACACACACACACACACAGAGAGGTATTCTCACAGAAGGCTGTGCATCTTCGGGGTGGGTGGGCGAAGACATAAAACGTAGGGGGTTATCCGGACAGCTGTCGAGGAAATCAACCCGATGCTACTTACATTCCTGTTGAAGGAGTTTCCGGGCAGGAGCGGTAGCGCCATGATTGTCCCGATCCTTTCCGCCCGCCCCCCCTGGGGCTGGTGTTGCTGCCCGAACCTCCACGCTCCCCAGCCGAGAGGAAGTGCCGGCGCGCTGTTTGGAGTCCCGTTGCCAGGAGACCCCCGTCTGACGTCACAGAGGACCGCGAGGAAAGGGTGAGTTCTTTCCACCCTTGCTTTTTGCTGCCCCCTGCAGTCGCGTGGTCCTTGGAACACGCACGCGCCGCTGGCCGAACGTGCCCTAGGTGTGCAGGCGTGCTGAGAATCGGTGGGTTTACTGGATCTCCGCCTTTGGATGTGGACTCCTTCTGGGAGCGAGGGCGTCAAATGCAATTTTAGAACCTATCTGGGCTTCACTTATAATTGATTTCTTTAAGATCCAGTAAGCTGGCATTACCATTTTAAGTGGACGATTACGAAGCTCGCCCCGACTGGGTTGAAGTTAGCACTCAACTTAATTTTTTTTGTTACGCAACCTTAACCTTTAAAAATTAGTTTTATAATTACGAGGATGTGGTCTGACTAAATGGCGGTGGTCGCCGTTATGTAGGTTTAGTCTGCTTTCAACTTAGGGCGATCCCGTTAATTAGTGTTTAAATAGTAATAGCAGTATATTATATGATACTAGCACCAGCTTATTATATATCTACGTTTCATCTGCCAGTGGCTTCTGGCATCTAATCTACAAAACAGTTTACTATAATATTTTTTTTCCAGAGGCGACAAAACTAGTCCAAGAAAGACTTTTATGTGCCTTAGTAAAAAAGCTTCATGACTGGACAGAGTATAGAACTTTGAATATGTTTTTTTTAAAAAAACTCTGGACCTTTATTATCATCAGGTATTTCTCAAGTCTCCTCAGTTATAAAGCAGTGTAGATCCAGTTTGCACAGACATTGATTAATTGCAGTAACAGCCATCATTTGGTAGCTGTAGAATTTCAAGTTGCAGGAGGAGAAAACACCTTTTTCATTGTTAAAAAAAAGTTTCCTCCCAAAAATTAAAAAACAGTATGCCAAGAGAAATAAACCACTGTACGGTATGTCAACAGAAATAAATAATACATGCTTTTGTCAGTATCTAATTAAGAAAACTGCAAGAGAGATGGTAAAAGCCACAATTGTGATAATTAGCATTCTGAGAAACCATGCTACTTGCTGAGGCTCTTATGCATTCCCCTTCCTGCAGTATCAGTAAAAGGGATTGCAGAACTCCAAAGGCTGTCCCTCCCATTTCATCTCCCAACATTGGGACCCGGCAGACTTACTAGAAAAGCAGGTTATTATGACACAACATATTGCTTATGATGTGGAGCATGACTCAGCAGTTTTGCTGTATGTAATTTCTAGGTTGCTGGAGCTAACCTCAAATTCCCAGTCCTGGTACTAAATAGAGGTGAAAAGGATGGTCTGTTTTATCCATGACCTGAAAGTATTCCCTTTGCTCTTTTTGATGCCCTCAACTTCTATTTATGAGCCATAGAGTGCAGCTGATAACCATGATTTTTATACATACACTCTTGCAGGCACTTATTATTATTTAAAATATTTTTACCTTGCCTTTCTCCTTTAAAAGGACCCTAGGCAGTTTAAATCATTGAAAGATATGATCCCCTTGCCCTCAAGGAGACACTCATTAGGCCGTTCACCAGTGTAGCCTTCCTTTCAACATCACCAAGCTGGAAAGCAACCAGGATTACTGAGGACAACCCACCAGTGAAGCAGGAAATCCACCGCTAAAGCTTCCTTAACAGATGGCCGTCCAACTGTTGTTTAGAATTCACTCAGTGAAGAGAATTCGCTGTCTTCTGAGGGAGGTTCTTGCTGTCGGAAAGATATTCCTAATATTTATGAGTCTCCTTTTAATTTGAACCCATTGGTTTCGGCCCTACCTTCTGGAGTCCCTTATAAACCAACCATGCTCTCTCTTGTATCTTTCACAGGACAGTCCTTCAAATATTTAAGGATGGCTTTCACATCCATTCTCAGTCATCCCTACTCCACCCAGCTTTGCTTCCAGATCCTTCATGATCTTGGCTGTCCAAGCAACTTTCTGGCTTGTCAATGGCCGCCTCAAATTGTGCTACTCAGATGTGGTCACAATATTGAAGGCATAGTCTGACCACAGGATGGTTGGTCTGCTCAGTGGCTTAGGTCTCTATGGAGCCAGAGGTTGGGCGTTCACTTCTCTACTGTGCCCCCTGGCAGAAGAGCTAGCCTGTGAAGCCTTGGGCAAGCTGCACAGACCCAGGATGTCCCCAGAAGAAGGGAATGGGAAGCCACTTCTGAATATTCTCTACCTGGAAAATCCTGAGAAGGGTCACCATAAGACAGAATTGACTTTATGTTACCTGATTATGATTAGTCTGACCAGGCAGAAATGAGTGATGGAAGCAAGAGCTGGACCATAAAGAAGGCCGATTGCCGAAGAATTGATGCTTTAGAACTGGGGTGCTGGAGGAGACTTTTGAGAGTCCCCTGGACTGCAAGGAGAACAAACCTATCTGTTATGAAGGAAATCAACCCCGAGTGCTCCCTGGAAGTACAGATCCTGAAGCTGAGGCTCCGCCATCTCATGAGAAGAGAAATCTCCCTGGAAAAAACCCTGATGCTGAGAGAGATTGAAGGCAAGCGGAGAAGGGGATGGCAGATTATGAGATGGTTGGACAGTGTCGTTGAAGCAACCAACATGAATTTGACCCAACTACGGGAGGCAGTGGAAAACATGAGGGCCTGGCATGCTCTGGTCCATGGGGTCATGAAGAGTCTGACACAACTTAAAGAATAAACTACAAAAAGAGAGAGTGGTGGTTGACCAGCTTCAGGCCATTTTGGATGAAACCAGCGCCCTGGATCCGTTCCAGTTGGGCTTCAGACCACACCACAGCACTGAAACGGAATTGGTCACCCTGTTTGAAGACCTGTTGAGGGTGGCAGATGTGGCAAAATGTCTCTGTTGGTCCTCCTTGATATCTCAACTGCCTTTGATACTGTTGACCATGGTATCCTCCTGGGGAGGCTCTTCGAGTTGGGAACTGGGGATCTGGCACTTGCCTGCCTCCGATCCTTCTTGGAGGACTGTCCTCGGAGAGTACAACTTGGGGAAAGTATATCGGCTCCATGGAGTTTCAATTGCGGGGTTCCGCAGGGCTCAATTATCTCCCCAATGCTGTTTAATGTCTACATGAGGCAGCTATTTCAGGTCATCGGGGAGTGTGGGGCTTCGTGTCATCAGTATGCTCTACATCTCCTTTTTTCCAACAGTGAATGCCTTTTCATCCCTTCAGTGCTTCCTAGAGGCTGTACTGCAATGGATGAAGGCAAATGGACTGAGGCTGAACCCAGACAAGATGGAGGTCCTGGGGGTGGCCCCACCATCAGTGGTTTGGAAAACTCCCTCTCTTTGGGGGGGTTGACTCTCACCACAAAGAGTGAGGTTCACAGCTTGGGGGTCCATCTCGATCCAGTGCTCACCATGGAAACTCTGGTAGAGTCAGTGGTTCACTCCACTGTGGCATCCATCCTAAGTTATGCATTCATAAGTTGTCTGTGATTGTGAGGTGGGGCAAAGGGGGGTACTGAGGAGGCGGAGCCGGGGAGAGAGGAGTTTAGTCAAAGACAGAGAAGAGAGAAGGAGTTTGGGGGTTTTGAGAGAGAGTTTGTGTTGAAGGAGTAATTGGTCAGAGTGTGACCTGTATTAAGATAGAAGAGATTAAAGTAAAGTAAAGAAGCTCTGTAACTTTAAGAATGTGCTTAAGAATTATTCCTGAAACCACGTGTAATCAATAAACCTGTTTCTGTTAAAAAGTCAGTACTGGATGGACCTTAGCCTTTCATAAGAAATATAAGTTGATAAAGAGATCAACTGATGACAGCCTGTCAAGGGGCACGTTTGTCGCAAACACGGGTCCAAGAACACACGTGTAAGCTTGGACAGAGAGCAATCAGGAGTTTGCACATGCTAAAATGGGCTGAAGAGTCCAAATTCAGCTAGCCATGATACAACACTCCTTCTCGCAGGTCTGCCCACATAAGAACACCCTGGTACTCTCAGATATTATTGTGAAAAGGTCAAGTGGGCTTTGTAGTCCTTAGACTTAACTTGCACCACTGACAGGACTCTAAGTAAGCTAGGCCGAGGCAGCACTCTCAGATGACCCTATG